AGGCTACAAATACACACAGCCGCTCTATCACGTGATACACACTGCTCCTACGTGATAAGGTTATGAGCCGAGTTACGCCGTGTAGCAAGTTTTGTGAGGTGCTTTTTTGATATTTAATGGATCGGATTACATTTTTTATTTCTCGCCGATATCCGATCCAGTAATTTGGGTCAGTATCGGACCGATACTGATACGTAATATCGGATCGGTCCATCTCTAGTAAATAATTGAGCCATGATCAGCGGTCAGTATTTTCTTAATGGAAATATTCTGACAAAGTAGTTTCCAAAACCACATAAAGTGAAGGAAGTAATCTGTGTTTTCTCATCGGGCTCTTAAAACAAAGATCTTTTTGTGGCACAGCATAAGCCCAGACATTTGGATGTTGGCAGTTAATTTGTGAGGATATTTAGACATGTTTTGTAGTTCAGGTTCAGGGACAGATTGAAGTGAATAGCTGAGCAAAATGCCCCCATTTTTTACTCAGAACAGGAAGAGAGCTGTCATCCATCTTATCCTGCCTCAACCTTCCTCCCCCACTTATCTAAATCCCGACAGCTCTCTCTGAACTCAACGCCAAAGGGTTGAGGGTACACCTGATGAATAAGCTGTGTGCTTGTATGTGCACAGGCAATGATGGGTAAGCGAAGGGACGTTCCTGGAGTCTGATGACAGAGAAGCTGATAAGAAGCATGGTAAAGGAGGGGAGGGGTGTGGTGGCAGAGACAGAGAGGCAACCGTCTCCTTTGTAAAGACAGAGGGCAAGAATTCAGACCGCTGGAACACATTCATCTCTCTTCACTTGTGTATAAAGCAGGTTTTCAACACACTGCGTCCGGCCAGCGCTCTTAGAGATCTGACCTATAGATAGACGTGGAGATATAGAGGTTCATCTTTTCAGCAGAAACTCGAGGACATAAACATTCGTAAATGCACTTCACAGAGCCAAGTCAAGTTGCCAGCTTGTGAAAAATCGCATTGCGTCTTCTAATACTGCAGCTGTTAATATTCGTCTGCTGCTTGATTTCAATAATTAAATGCGTTAGCTGTTTTGTCGTACCACTTGTTTAGTTAATCTTAAATGCTTGTTTTGTCAAATCTTCATACCGATGTCTTCTAACTGATCTATACAATATTAACACACATTTCAAGCATTAATAAAGCATTTTGTTGCACCTGTCAGAAATTGTCCCTTTTTAAAACTTTCCTTTTTGATAAAGCTTATAGTTAGCCCTGGATCAGGTGACCCTGAACTACTCCCTTAGTTACGCTGCTTTGACCTGTGGAGGCTTCCCATGATGCACTGGGTGTTTCGTGTGTTTTACACCACTTGTCACACTACCATGTCTTTTGTCCCATCTCCCTCCCCTCACCTCCCACTTCACTGACGGCCCTTCCCTGAACCTGGTTGCGCTGTAGGTTTCTTCCTGTTAAAAGGGGTTTTTCCTTCCCACTGTCACCAAAGTGCTTGCTAGCTTCATTTCCCACCAAGAAGGTAGTATAAGTGAAAATTCCTGCATGTTTTCCAAAACTAAGAATTTAACTATTAAAGTGAAACTCTTTTCTCTTTTAAATTAAAAAAAATAAGAAGCCCATTTTCACCGTCAATGCCTCGATTCTGCCACATGAGGTTGTAGCAATATTGAACATGTGTCACTAGCTGTTCGTTACACATGCTTGTCTACCACCCCAAGCATCATTTTTCAGTATGCATTGTCAATGTAACCCAAAACTAACCAAGGAATTTGTTGTGTAACTCCCAGGCAGTAAGTAAAAACAAAAGACAAAGTAAAAACATGGTCCAAGCCACAAAGTTGGGACATGAGCTACAGTCTCCCCACTGACAAACTTGTGGTTCATGCCACTGCCACATGCTCTGCTGTCTTGCAGAGACTTTGTCACTTGCTTTAAAGAGGAACTTTTGCCTTGAGCTCTCAGTACTGCTTCAGCTGCTGCATTACTGGTATCAGAAATCTTGTAGGTGCATCTGGGGAGTGCTAGTGGTTTCTGACAAAACTGCACGAGAAACATTTATAACAGTAAAATATTCTTATTTTTACAAATGGACCATTTCATGTCAAGTACTGTAATCAGTCTTCTTTGCTTTTGTGTGATTAGTGTTTGCAGTTTAGCCCACAGCTTTCAGTGAAGACATCCGACCAGAGCTGATACGTAACAAAAGTCAATAAAAATCTATCCCTGTATCTGTTAAACATTTCGGGACACTATGTCAGATGTCTCAATAATTTCCCTCTCAGTAATTACTACTTGAGGAGAAATGGCAGATCTGCTCTTAAAGTTTACTTAGAAGTCGATGTATGCTGCGTGAGACAACTGAAGCTGAGGGAATGGTTGCTGGGATGCATTCAGCGCCTTCCGGCTTCTATTTAGCACCAAAATAAGGGTGAGAGGGTGAAGTGAGTGCCAACATGGTAACCTTAAGATCAGTGGGAGGAAGATCCAGACAAACAGTAACAATAGAGGCTCGTTGTTGGCAAGGTCCCAAACCACAAGTTTACTCAGGCGGGGCTGATTGTTTAACAGAGACGCACACATTACAGGCACTGAAGCAGATTTGTGGCGTGGTGGTACTTCAGGACCCACCAAGAAGAAGAAGAAGGATCACAATAGAGGTTTACAGTAAAGACTCTTCTTATGTCTCTTCACGTGTCTGGGAATGCACAATGGTTATATTTATATAGAGATCAATTAAACTCCAAGCAAGTGCGAGAAACGGGTGAAAGGCGCGAGAGATGGGGTAAATGTGAGAAAGGAAAATAAATCTGTCATCAATGATTCAGAAAAGAAAGTACAAGAGGCTCTAATGAATGTTAGAATTGTGATTCTTTCTCAAGCTAATATGTTGAGACTCCTTAGAGATACAGACGACATAGTGCTGGAAAACATGCCAATCATTTGGATTCCCTGCATAATAGCCACCACCTGTCTTTTAGTCCCTTCAGACAAAGGGGTGCCCTCTGTTTCCCCCTGGGCTTTCTTAAATGCCGGTGAGGGTCGCCCACGGAGCACGGTGAGATTTAAAGTCCTTTGATCTGTCGGGCTACAGTGTAGCATAACATTCACAGAGGTTGCCTTTTTCCCACTCAGCACCTGTCTGTTGTTATCTTGTATCTGACGCTCAGACAGGCTGAGTATAGTGGATAACTGTAGCATAAACACAGCCATACTGTCGAGCTGCTGATGCAGGCGCAGCATCCAGGTCTTTAGGCTTTGGTGATTGTGGTGATCAGACTGTCTGCGCACCTTTGGTGGATTAATAGCGAGCAGACACGCAAATGCAAACACAGAGCAAAGAGACTCTGTAAGCAACAGGATCAAGCACACCTGCCACCCTCTGTGGCTCTCTAACTGCAGCAAAGGATGTCAGCGTATGGTATTTACTCACTGTTCATAATGGGGTATTTATCATTTACCAGTACACCAACAAACCTGGTGACCAACTACAGGAAGCATCTTACTGCTGTGTTTTGCTCAGGGTCAAATACTTATTCCACTCAATGACATGCAAATCAGGTCATAACTTTTATGTAATGTGTTTTTCTTCTGGATTTTTGATTTTGATATTCTGTCTCTCTGAGTTAAAATGAAACTAGCATAAAATTTGTGAGTTTGTGAGTAAAACTACAAATTCAGCAGGGGATCAGATAATAATTTTCCACACTGTACGTGCAATAGTTTCACGAGGTCCCTCCTTCTGTCTGTAAACAGATGATTGATGGAGATCCCTCTCTTCATCTTCAACTCCGGGTCTGATGCGGGTCCAAAAAGAACGAGCTCAGCTCAGCATACATTCATCATTATTTTCTTAAATGATCAAACGCTCCCACTCACCGTCATCGCTGTCTGCCAAAATGGTGACTTTGGCAGACGGGAAGTTGGCGCCCACCTGGCCCCCCATGGGCATGCTGAGGCTGACGTTAAAGCTCTCCTCTTCCTCGTAAAGGGAGTCATCGATGATAATGATGCGACAGGCTTTTTCTCGCTCATCCTTATCGAAGCGCAGCACGCTGGTGTGGTCCTCGGGCCGGGTGATGTAGTCAGAGTAGGAAAGGACTGTGCTGGGTATGGTGCCGGTGGCTGTTCCTGAGGAATTATGGGAACAGAAAGATCAGTTTGCAGTGAAACTAACAGCAGGAAGTCATTGGAGTAAAAAGGGAAAATAAAAAATAACACAAAATAAATACTAATTAAATAATCAGTCCTACACATGAACATAGAAATGTTTGCTCTAATATATCACCAATAGTCAAAAGTAATGAAAGAAAAGGTTCCACTCCTGCAATTTCATTTATTTGTGTTTTGATAAAAACAGATTGATCTCACCTTGCTGAGTGTAACAAACTACCATGAGCTCCTGGCTGGCATCTCCTGACCGTCGCACTGGCACCAACAGCTCTCCAACATCTTCCTCTATCTTGAACTCTGACTGAGGGATGTAGACGGTCGATTCTGTTTTGAAGGAAAACAAATCAAGGCCAAGAACAACAATTTTGTTCAAATAACTCAAAATAACCAGATTCTTACCATCGCCAGGGTCCACAATCTCCACCGTCGCGACGTCAGGAAACTCCAGGACAGCCATGACAGGGTCTGACAGCTGTATCTCAAATGTTTCCGAGGTCTCAAAGTCCTGGTCTGTGAAGATTTTCACTTTCCAGGTCGCTGTGGTCTGGCCTGGGTTGAACTGAACCTGCTTCTGGGCTTTACCACGGAAATCCTTGTCCTTCTCTGCTGTGCCGTCCTTAGTGGCAATACCTGAGGAAAAGCAGTGCCAGTGGCAGCAATATTTTACCCCAGTGCTTCCTCCTGGGGCTTATGTCAAAGTACAGGCTTTCATATTTGAACAGTACACATGATAATTTCAATCTGATGCAACAATAACAGGTAGAATATTCTGTCTGCTGACACCGCAGAATAAGAAAAAGATCGTTTGAGTTTTACGTTCCTTTGCACAGCGAGTGAGTGGCCAGCATGCAAGCCTTACTAGGAAATGTCATACATGAATTCAACTGAACCTCTGTCACAGACAGGACAGGAAATGGAGCAGCAGTCAAACAAGAAAACAAAAGCTTTGCTCCTTTGGGGACATGTCTGCAGCGTGAGTGTGGAGGTTTTCTTCGTTTGGCTGCAGGGATAAGCTGAGGATAAGCCCTTCAGCCTTAAAAGGAATGTTTAGAAATTTTAACTAAAGGCAGCTATGGTCATGCTTTATTGCAGGTCTGACCTTTAAAAACACATAAATAACATGAAAGTCTAAAGAGACTTTTAAAAGTGGGTAATAATTCATTGTTAAAATGTCAGTTTAAAAAAGGGTCGTGTGGTATCATCATCCATCATATCTTTTTATGAGTGACAAGCAAGTGGCCCCTTAGGAGCTAAAAAATAAGGCCATTATGGGAGTACCAAAAACTGCACTTTCTTGAAGGGCCACTTGAAGCTGGCTCTAAAAACGAGTGAATCCCACAATGCTCAGGATCATTTCCAGGAAAGATTTTAAATTTAGTCATGTGGAAAAAATGTATCTAGACTTTTTAATGAAGTGAAAGTTATAATCCAGCTTACGTAGCTCAGGATGTATTTATTGTATATTTAAAGAAGCTAAAGTAACTATGAGGATGGCACTTCATATAACTGGGGAGGACGTGGGTCAGGAGGTGGAGCATGTCATCTACTACTCAGACGGTTGGTGGTTTGATCTCTGGCTGCTCCAGTCTGCATGCCAAAGTATCCATGGGCAAGATACTGAGCCATGCTCCTGATGCGTTCATTGGAGCGTGAATGTTGGATAGAAAGCACTGAGACAAAAAAGCTCTTATGTTTGTGAATGGGTGAATGAGACATGCTGTGCTTTGAATGCTCAACCAGACTAGAAAAGCATTAACCCGTCCATTTACCATTATATTGTTACCATTATATTATTGGATCATTGCAGCTGTTGATATTAATTACTTATATATTGGTAGCTTGAGTCAACGTATCTCCAAAATAAGCTACTGAAGCTTTAAAATAAATGTTATGGAGTAGAAAATACAATATTTGCATCCAAAATATGAAGCAGACAGTAGCATAACACATAAAAACCTGTTTACTAGCTGTTATTTTGGGACACCCTCAGCTTATTTTAGTCACTGACTTAACCATGTTAACCACGTTTGTGGTGTCTCTAAGCATATTTAATTCAGTTATCTGATAATATATTATTTAGCTTAATTAGCAGGTGTTTTTGTGCCTGCAATGCATCTATGCAGTTTATAGATAAAGCTTGCTAATCAGGCGTTCAGCTTTTAGCTGGTAACTTATCCTCTTGTTCAGTTGTAGCTTTTGGCTCCAAACAAACTAGATGTTACAATCCTGACTTTAAAGTTAGAGGCCACAAACAGATGAGTGATGTCTCAGTGGCTTCGGCTATCGTTTCTACGCAGGGAAGCCCTATATCAGGAATGAAAAACAAAAATGTCTGCAGATTATAGTAAAAAGCAATCATTATGTTTGTAAAAACAAACAAAAAACTCACTCATTTCTAAAGCATACAAATATAATTAGGTTTCCTGCAGTTAATTAGAAGCTAAATAAATGACTTGTCAGCACTTACTGACAAAAGAAGTTTCTCCCAGGTAGCCTCTGCGTTTCAGCGTCACCTCGAGGAATTTGGCATCTTCATCCACCAAATAGTATTCCCTCTCCAGAGATATCCAGGCCCAGTTGAGTCGGAATGGCTGGGGATTTAGTTTATTTCCACCTAAAGAGAGGCAGGGGGAAAAAAGAACCTAACGCATTAGCATTTCATTTGAAACTTCTTTCCGATGGAGACTACAATAATCTGTTTTGTTCCTATCGGGACTCACTGAGGCATATAAACTGCAATCTGCTCTGGGCTCAAGGATAAAAGGAATCAAAGGGATATTTTAATTTAGGAAGGGAAACATGATAACTTAATACCAGGGCTTCTCTAAAGCTCACTTCACCAGGAGGAGTTGCATTACTTGTTATTTCAATGGATTCTTATCCATATCTACTTACAGCTCTCTCTTATTCGCAGGCCTCAGTAGGATGCCTGCGAACTCAGATAAAATGGAAATTGTCTGCTTTTGAAAAACTCATAGAGTTTTATCTTTATTGAACTTGCCATGCACTGTTCATGCTCTGTAGCGTTCCCTTTTGAAAATAATGAAGTGGAGTGGGGTGTTTCCAGGACATAGAGATGAGTCGGATATTATTAGTGACCTCAAAGAGCATATACAAATGATTACATGTTTCTGGTTTTAAAAAAAGTGAGCACAATTACCCCTTTCTACTAATTTCTGACTTTTTATCATACATTAAGCCAGGAGCAGCCAATTAATATTCCCCAAGGGGCCACATGAGAAACTGGGACTGTTGTGGAGGGCTACTTATGGGTGCGGCCATCCACAACAGTCCCAGTTTCTCATGTGGCCCCTTGGGGAATATTAATTTCTTGCCCCTGTTTTAACGATGATTTAATGTGTGGCTGCACACAATATGAGCCTGAGTAAATACTGAGTGAAAGAGGCTATCCTCCAAAAGTGAAACACATTTGACATGAAATATCAAAAGCTCAGAGTCATAGATCCCGTCTTTAATCCACACAATCTCATGACTCATGTAATCCCTCTAACTGCCAGCTTGGTTTTTATCACTGACTTAATGCAGACAGCTTCAGAAATATGTCAGCGAATAAGCATACTTGGAATATTTTTTTTAGCAATGGCGGTAAAATAGCCTAATGCTTTATCCTTGAGTGAGGCGAGCCTGGTGACCTGTGACTTTTGAAATGGGTCAGGCTCGGCGGATTCTCTGGATCAGAGAGGTTAGAGACAACTGGCTCGCTTTAGTTTTGCTCGGCTGGTCACACTGAGAGCAGCCCCGCTGACCTAACTCTGTAAAAAAGTTGCTTAGAGGAGTGAGAGGACTTTACTGAATGAGAAGAAGCAGAAGTTTTTGGGAAGATTTTTTAAAGGTTTGATACAGGTGTCAGAAAAAATAAAACAAATGTGAACTAGACATTACACCAGTCAAAGGAGCATGAACAAAAACAAACAACAGGACAATAGAAAGGAGCCTCTCCTTGTCCTCACACTGAACCACCATTGAGCTCATTTTTGCCTCAGTGAAGAAGAAAGGGGCTGCAGTCTTTATGCTATGTGACCGAGGAGAATGAAAACACTGGGGAGCTGAGTGTGGGTATTCAGGATGGGAAGGGGGCCGCTTCCTCGAACCCACATGTCAGCGCTGAAGCCAAGCCAGGTCGTATCACAATAGAAACGATCCACATGGACCAAAAGGCAGAAGCGTGATCAGATTCAGCTGATGTTTGATTGAGTAATGATGACTGTCTGGAAAATGTGGGATAGTAAACATAAATAATCACTTTTCATTTCTTTCTCGAAAACAGACTGTGGACAACTGAGTTCAAGTTAAAGAAAGAGTCTTATTCTGTTTAGCGTACACGGATGGATACATGAATGCAGGCTATCCTCTTGCGAAAATGGAGCGGCAATGCCTGGTGAGCACTCTGCACCAGGCTCATGCTCAGGTTTCCCGCAGCCATGGCTAAAAATACAGGAAACAAGTATCATGTCTGTTTTTGCTTGACCCAAATTCTTCAAGTGTTAATAGAATAACGGGTTTTTGAAAGCATTCGACTTGTTGTGTTCTGAGCAGAATCGACTCCGTACCTGCTAAACAAGCAAAACTCTTAAAGACAAGATTTGTTCTCAGCACCCAAGAAGGAAAATGCACCAATTCCAGCCTGATGTACAGTCACACAGAAAAAAGACTTGAATCATCAGATTGTTTCTGTGCTGGAAAAAAAAAGTGCTTGCTGGCAGTTGGCCCTATTTGGAGCTGATATGAGGAGAAGCTCATTCAGAGTCTCTCATCAGGACTTATTGAATGAACACAGCAAAGACAAAAAACTGCTATTGTTTTGGCACCAAGCAATCAGGCAGCTTTAGGTTTCTGCATTACTACAATGAGTAAAACAAAGGGCTTTTTATGAATCAGACCAAGAGTGCTGGGCTGATATTTCACAGGCTGTTGAATAACAAGCATCAAAATTGCAACAACATATTTCTACAGTATTCAAATGACACTGAAAAGTTAAATTTTACGACACCTCTGTGACTGTTTCTAGATATAAACATAATTGTACATATATGGGGAAAGCTGGGGATAAATGTAACATGTTTTATATCTTATTACATTACTATCTGAAACACACTACACATGTTGCTGCTCATTATGGGCTGACATGATGTGTTTGCCATCATAAGTAACAAACATTCTAGCTTCATTTTTACATTTTACCTTTTCATTTTTCCAACAGTAAATAACCTGCAGAAGTGAATAAATGCAAATCCTGTCCTTTAAAACAACAGGCCCCATTACACAGCCGAATAACGGTCATGCTGTGTGTTTCACAGCCCTGCTCTGGGGACGTATAGTGGTGTCTCTTTATGATTGCATTTACAATCATAAAGAGACACCACCACAGAGTTACATCTGGCATTGCCTACTTGGTATACACAGCGTGATCCACGGTTGTTTTTAATAATCTTTTTATCCAGAATAACAGCTGTCACTGCTGTTTGAAATGGCTGTTTCACATCTTCCTTTTTCCGTTGCACCTCACTCCTACAGTACGAAGAATGTGATTTGCTGTTATAATATACACCTCCTCAGGAGGAGCAGAAAGCAGCACTACTGTTTTCTGACTAAGAACATCAAAGCGAAGATCTCCCTTAGTCTGTCAGTCTGTCCCTCCCTGTCTCGCAAAACCTTCCTTCCCGCCAGACTCCCAGATTATGTGTAGCAGAGTGACAGATGTACTCCACAAACCTCCTCCCCCTCTGTGTTCCCCTTCCTCCCTGTGTCGGCTTTGTTCGCAAAAAGGGGATGAACAACTGAGAAGGACAGCAGGCCGCAGTCTGGGTGGGCCAGATCTGCCGCCATGGCGTGCCTCCCTCCCTGCCTGCCTGCCTCCACATTTCTCTGAATTCTTTTGTGCGTGCTGTCAGAAGCTGAGGCCGGCTGGCATGAGGCTGAGCAAATCAAGAGTCGGGATGCCAGGCGTGCACATAGCTCTTCAGAAATAAATGAAAATGGTTTAGCTTTGCCCAAAATAGAAAGACCTGCACAAAAAGTAGCTGCAAACATAGGAGCCAGATTGCTGTGCTTTATGATTAATAATTTTGACTGTCGGTCTGATTTATTGCAATTTTTATGACGCTCACGCTATATTAGTCTGGCTATCAAATCCAATACACTCGGCGACTGACTCACTAAGCTCACATTTCCATTAGCTTTTTAAACTGACAATCATAATAATTTCTGCTGGGATGAAATGTTTTATAGGCTCCGTGAATTTCCAAACCTTCCTGTTAGCAGCCATCTAATAAATTAGCTTCACTTTGATTGATGCCAGTTGGACGGCAAAGAATACTAAAGAAATGTGTTCTGTTATACGAGCCCAGTGACACAAACTCCTAACAAGCACTAAGAATGTGCATCAAAAAACACAGAGCAGTTACAGAATAACAGGATGACTCAGCACAACATCATGGCTTATTTACAGGACATTGCAGCCTCACAATTTCCCTGCAAAGGCGTCCTTTAACGGCGCATTCTCCCTCAGCTCATATTTACACAGCGGCACTGCCTGAACCATACATAGATGCAGTGGTACAGTGGGTCAGGCTGGAGGTATCACTTGAGAGGAAGGTCAATATGAAGCTCACCAGCATGATGCAAGGAAGAGCAACCTTCTAAGAATATCCTCATTGAGTGACAACCGTCACGTTATTGCATTTCGTCATCAATCATCCAGTTCATATGAATACTGGTGAGATTCCTGCCAGCTATGCTCAGCATTTAATATCACTGGCTTTAAGTGTGGTCTGTTAAATCTAGAGGATGTCAAACATCTGGGTAAACAGACAAAAAAGGAGATCAGGTAGGATTCATCTAAAATTTAGGTTTCTTAGACGCAATGATGACTTTAATCATTCAGTTTCAGTGTGTGCTATGAATCAACGAATCAAAGTGTCTGCATCACAGCATCTGATCAGGACATTAAGGACATTTCTGCAGGAAGTTAAAAATAGCTTTGACCCATGTGCGCCAGTAGGCGGGGACAACAAAACGAAAACAAGCAAACTTAGCACTCACATGTAGATGTCAAATCATGCAAAAAGTTCAAAAGCAAAAATAATGAACAAAACAACACTATTGATCAATCTAAATCTAGATTAAGGCTGTACTGAAGAATATTTCAGGCTAAAATGTTGGAACGCTGCCTCTGGGGACAAAAAATAAAACCAGTGTGAAAGCACGGAAAAATACCAGTAGACTGGCTTATTCAATGCCCATAATTGGGCATTGGTTAACATTTTGGTTTGCTAGTGATTGTTTTTAATAGCATTCACCAAATTCTTTGCTAATGCTAACACAACATGACTTAGTCAGTTGCAATGTTGATCGTGGACCAACATTATTATGATGACATGGACATATCTACTTAAATTGTATTAATACATTAATAAATCAGTCTCTTTAACTAAATGCATTAAATACTAAATGCCTGTTCGGTGTGATCACAATGACTGAATGACATTGAACGGCGTACCTTGATTGCATATGGGGTTTTAGTGATTTAGCTGTTTTATGCAATTATGTGATAAATAATGTGGCTTGCTTTGTCACCTACACTTTTAGCGCTTT